CGGCCCCTTTCCCGGTGGCCCGAGAGAGGAACCGCCGGGGCGTCCTTTCGGAAGCGCGGGGGGATCTCGCCCCGGGCACGTTTAGTTGTGACGTAGGGGTTACGGAGGGGCGCAGAGCCTGCCCAGAGGTGGGTTTGAGGACACTGATGACGCAGGCGCGCCTGCTGAGCGCGTGTGGGAGCGCTGGGAGCAGAGGTTACTGTGGATGGGGGTGGCCATCCCTGTGCTGGAAGGGGTCAGCCGGAGACACGGTAGCTCAGCTGAGGCAGAAGAAAGAGGAAGGTGAGGAGGCAGGAGGATACTAGTGCTCTTCTCTCCTTTTCTCCGCCTGCTCCCTGGAAAAAGTGCAAAGCAAGCTGCTCCTCAAAGGGGTGAGAGCAGATTTCAAGTCCCGGGGAAAGGGGAGAAGGAGAGGAGCCCAGTGCTCTCCTTGCTGGGGGGAGGAACTGTAAGGACACCCTCCTGCCAATGCCCTAATGACTGTTTCGGGGACTGCTGCCATGACTCCTCCCTTTCCCCTGGGGTGCTACGTGCCCTGCCCTCTTGATCAGGTGGGGTGGGTTGTGGCCCACAGCTCAGGCAATTTGTTCTGCTCTGGGAAGGAAGAAGGGCAACGAAGCTGGTGAAGGGTCTGGAGAACAAGTCTGATGAGGAGCGGCTGAGGGAACTGGGGCTGTTTAGCCTGGAGAAGAGGAGGCTGAGGGGAGACCTCATCGCGCTCTACAACTACCTGAAAGGAGGTTGTAGTGAGGTGGGTGCTGGTCTCTTCTGCCAAGTAACTAGTGATAGGACGAGAGGAAATGGCCTCAAGCTGCGCCAAGGGAGGTTTAGATTATGAAAAATTTCTTTACTGAAAGAGTGGTCAGGCCTTGGAACAGGCTGCCCAGGGAAGTGGTGGAGTCACCATCCCTAGAAGTATTTAAAAGATGTGTAGATGAGGTGCTTAGGGACATGGGTTAGTGGGCATGGTGGTGTTGAGTTGATGGTTGGACTCGATGATCTTAGAGGTCTTTTCCAACCTTAATGATTCTATGATTCTAATGTCCCCATGTGGGACCTGGGGTTCCCTGGGAGGAGAGGGGTTCCTTCCCAATGTCAAGGCAGGTTGATCTGCAGAGGGTGGGGAGTGTTCACAGTGCTTGTGTGGCAATATCAGTAGCAGAACTCTGCTTTATCCTCTGGGATTTTGGGCAGGTTCCACAGGGATCCACTGCTGCTGAACATTGTTTGTAGGACTCTGCCACACCACTATGCTAAGACTCATGTTCATTTTGCAGTTTCAGCTCCCAGTCCTGGAACATCAGCTGACGGTATGTGCCATTTCAGCAGAAGTGCCTATGCTACGTGCAGCTATCTCAGCCAGGAGATAGTGGTGCAGAGCCATCTACACACCTAGGGAATACAAGGGACAATTCAGATTCTCCTTTTCTGGCAGAGTTTGAAGGAAGAGAGGTGATACAATGGATGATCTCTAAGCAACCGACAATATCACCTGCCTATTGCAGTGGAGGTTAGCTGGAGCTCTGCCCTCCAAATCTGATTTGGGCCAGGGGAACCATGTGTCTTCCATTTGAGAAATTAAGATGGAAGTCCTCTTCTGCTTTACAGAAAGAGGAGTATGCTTAGCAACTGTTTTCCAAGTAAATGCTCACCAGTCTTTCCTATGAAGATGTTCTTCCCCCATTGGGTTCCTTCTGCCCTACTTGGTTGTACTTAATGGAGCCGTGTGAAGAGGAGCTGGTTCCCCCCACCTTCCCTAAATAAAAGGTAGAGAGGCCTGCTCAGATGGTTGTTCAGCATAAGCCATTGTAAAGGTCTTTGGAAGTCTTCTCAGACAGAGATGTAAAACAAGTGCAGTGTACTGGGAATGTGTTGTGGGAATAATTTTAATGATGAGGGGCTAATGAGAAGTTTGCCTTTATTAGGAGGTGGTACTTCTGTTTCTTATTGGTTTAGATTACAGGCAGAAGTACAGAGACCATGTAGCAAGAGAGTTCTGTACGTTTAAAGAGGTGAACACTTGCCTCGGTGAGAACATGACTCTAAGCAGCAGATATGCAAAGCTGATGATGGTTATAAAGACTCAGAACACAACTGAACAAGAACATGAGGTCCTGTGTCTCAGACAGAGACATGAGGAGGTCAGAGGAGAAGGTGCTAAACGTACCATCACTGCAGAAATGCTTTTTCATCCTGATAAAAGAGGGCAAATACCACAGATCATTGTGCTGGTGGGAGCTGCAGGTATTGGAAAGACAACGACATCAAGAAAGATCATGTTAGACTGGGCAAAAGGAGCCCTTTATGCACAGTTTGACTATGCTTTCTACATAAGCTGTAGAGAGATCAACCTTTCTCAGCAAGAGGACTTGCTGAGTCTGGGTGACTTGATGTCAGATTGCTGTCCTGATCAACGGGCACCACTTGGCAAGATCCTGGCTAGTCCCCAGAAGCTTCTGTTCATCATTGATGGCTTTGACGAACTGAGGTTTTCCTTGGATCAACCGAAATGTAAATTATGCTCAAGTGCTGAGGAAAAGAAGCCCATAGAAATTATTCTGAGCAGTTTATTGGAGAAGACTCTCCTTTCGGAGTCTTCCTTACTCATCGCCACAAGACCAACAGCTCTTCAAAGTCTGGGGCAGTGTTTAAAGACAGAGTGTTTTGTAGAGATACTGGGTTTTTCAGAAGCTGAGAGGGAGGAATATTTCCGCAAGTTCTTCATGGATGAAGACAAAGCAAGAAAAGCAATTAGCTTTGTCAAAAGAAATGACACTCTTTTTACCATGTGTCTTGTACCCATCATGTGTTGGACCGTCTGCACTGCCCTTGAACAAGAACTTGATGAAGGGAATGATCTTTCCCACCCTTCTACAACAATCACAGAGCTGTATGTGTCCTACCTTTCCAGATTACTCAAGTGTGGGAAAGAAGATCTGAAGCAGGATCTGAAGAAGTTCCTGGGCAGACTTTGCTGCCTGGCTGCTGATGGGATCTGGAAGCAGGAGATCCTGTTTGAGGAAAGAAGATCAAGGAACATGGCTTAAATCACCAAGTTCTATGCTCCCTTTTTCTGAGTGAGAGTGTTCTAAGAAAAGGTAGGGAGTGCGTGAATGTCTACAGCTTCATTCATCTGAGCTTTCAAGAGTTTTTTGCAGCGTTTTTCTATGCACCGGGGGACGGTGAAAACACAAGGGAACACTCAGGGACTCCTGAGAAGAGAATAAATGTAGTGCTTGAAAACTACAATGAATGTAAAACACGTTTGATATTAGTGGTGCGATTCCTGTTTGGCCTGTTAAACAATGAACTAAAGAAGAAGCTGAAAGAAATAACTGGATGTGAAACTTCACCTCAAATTGAGGAAGACTTGCTGAGGTGGACTCAGATAAGCCAAGGAGTAGCTTCAAGTTCTGATAGGGTGATTTTTGACTAGAATATATTTCACTGTTTGTTTGAGAGTCAAGAAGAAACATTTGTGAGCAATGCATTGGAGCATTTCACGGGGATTGTTCTAAGAGACATCAGCCTAACCCAATTTGATCAAAGGGTTCTCTCATTCTGTGTCAAACCCTGGAAGGGACTGGACTCCCTTCATCTTGAATGGTGCTTCCTTACATGGGAAGACCATGAAAACAAGGTCATTCCAGGGCTCCCAGAGAGATCATGTCTGTAAGTGTATTGTCTGACAACCACAGTGACAAAGTTCCCTGAACCAGTAAGTTGGTCTTCTCTCCCTTTCTACGAACTAAAAATAGTAGAAAGTCTTTCCCAAACTAATGCTATTATAGTGAAGGGACTCTTCTTGCTTTCCTACTAAAAAACTTTCCCCTGCACTCTCGTCATGGTTACTCATTTCATTACTGATTGACTAAGGCTATTGTGGAGACCATGCTGATGGAGCTGACACCTACTCTGTAGGCAGTTCCATAAGGGAGCTGTGGAGCTGCAGAGCTTGTTAGCCATCCACTGTGTCTACAAAGCCTCTTCTCCTAGGTCCAGGAAAGTACCAAGCCAGAGTGGTGTTTCTCTGCGGGAAATACAAGCGCTTATCTCCACTGCATTGCCCTAGTAGAGGGATGCACTGCAAAAGGTATTTTTAAAGGCATTTCCATTTGCTCTTCCTCAAAATGCAATCCTGTTTTTTTTCACTACCCCTTTCCTTGGAGTCCTTAGTCTGAAAGGCTGGAAGGTTTGACTTGCCTCCAGAGAGAGTCCTAGCAAAGAAGGAGAGAGCAAAAAGCTTGGGCCATCCTGTTTGAGTTTGGAAGGGGTTAAGCTGCAATCCTGCACTTGCCCGGGGCACGTGTGCTAAATGGCCATGGGCAGTTGCTTCTCCCTTGACCTGTTTGACTCTTACCTGCACTGTGCAGGCTGGCAGAGTCTCTTGTGAGACTCTGCTCACGAGAGTGCTGTGCTTGATCAGGCAGAGGGCTCTGGTACCCAGCTAGGAGTGGTCTGTTCACCTCTCAGCAATCTGGCCAGGGCAAGTGTCCTGAGTGAGCTGGAGGAGATGCTCAGCACAGCACAAAATGAGCCTGGACCCCTGAGACAGGGCAAGAGATGGCTCATGCTGCAGAGGGCTTCTCAGGAGTTCTGTACCGGAAAAACCATAACCCCTGTAAAAGCACAGTTTTTGTCTGTATCCCCTCTCCCCTATGGGTTGCAACCTTCTCATTGTGGCGAGGCTTTCCTGTGGCATTGGGCGACTGTCAAAGCACGGTCTTCTTCCCTTGGAAGGTATTTGTTAAACTGGAAAAGCGGCAGCAGCTGCCACTTCCACGGCACTGTAGCTGTACTTCCATGGTCAGCAGTGGGACCGGCAAGGAGTTTGGGAAGGGATGGTAGTATTGGGCACTACCCTGCACCTGTTTCCCCATCAGTCGGGAAGAGAGCTCCCAGAGTTCCCTCCCCAACACCAGGGAAGAGTGGTGAAGAACACCTTGAGAGCACGAGCAAGTCAGACGCAAGCGGGTTTATTGTCCTGGTCCAAATTGCAGTGAACAGGCGTGGGGGCTGGTGAATGGGTACCCCCAAACAGCATGTCCACCTGGACTCTGGGTGAGCTGTGGCTCTGAGTGGTCTCAGAGACCTGTTCAGATACAGCCCCTCAAGGGCTGTATCCCATAGCCAACTCCCTGAGGTAGCTTCTTGCACTCGTGCCAGGGCACTGGGCTACTGCTGATGGCACCAGCTGTCATGACCCGGCTGGACTCGGTCCGTGTGGTTTTTCCCTGTGGGAGCTGTGTGCTCAGTGGGGAGCGCAGTTGCCCTTTTCCCAACAGTGGTAGTTAATGCTCAGAAAGGAACTGCATCTTATGAAGGAAAGGATTAGCAGCGCAAATGAAGGCTGTGGATGTGCTCCCATTCCCATCCCCTGCATAGGGACATGGGTCGCTCGCTCTTGCCATGGGGCAGTTTCAATTCGCGTAAGCGTCTCTGTTCCTGGAATTCCAGAGGAACCTTTAGATCTGTTTAGAGGCTGAGACATTTCTGGAGAGCTCTGTCCAGTGTCCAGGCAGCCCAGTGCCCTGCTCCTCAAGGGTTTGTTGATGACAGTGAAAAGCACCAGCTTGCCTTCCCTGGGAAACCCTCCTACAAACCTGATCAGAGCAAGCATAGTCTTTGTATGTGGATAGCAAAAGCCTTTGCATGGGTAAGTGTCATGGTTCATTTGGATCTTTCAAATTTACAGGGCAATTTACACTTTGTAAATTAAAATTTATTTCATGAGCTCCTCTGGTTAAAAATAAATCAAGCAAAGGCTCAATCCCCTTTGTACAGATTAGTCTATCACATGAATTCTCTAATTCATTCATTTGTGTATTCACTACACCTTCTCACATATCTCTCATGTTCTCCAATATCTTGCAAATTCTCCAACTCGCGTGTCTGTGAGCGAAATAGTTACCTAGCCTAGCTTCTCCATCACAATGCATGTCCAGCGTGTCCTGCGAACGTGCTGCTCTCGCTTTGACCTAATGGTGCTGCTCCCAGCACACATCGGGTCTTGGTGTGAGCCACGTGTTACGCCAAAAGCTGAGTGAATGGTCACACTAAGGTAACTGTGTACAACGCACAGCATTGGTGATTACTCTCAATGTCTTGAATGTCTGACCCAGCATTGCATGGTGTGAGCCACATCTGGTTTTCAAATGATTTGCAATGAACTGGGAATACACACCATCCTGTTTTGAGTGGGAGGTCCTGCTCCCTGACATGCTGTCTTGATGCTTGTGAACTAGTAACGAATCCAGCTTGCCACCTCTCATGCAGAGCATCTCCTCTTCACTTCTCCAGGCAGCCATGCCAGGCAGAGCAGTCACAGTCATCACCTCTGTCCCTGCTCCATCAAGCTGTAGGGAATCCAAGGAGCAAATTGAAGACACTCAGGTGAGAAAACTGTTCTGTTCCTTAGAGACAAACCAACCAAAATGCCAGCCTTTCTCTCAAGCAGGCAGATCACTCTGCCCACCTGAATTCTGCTGGAGAGAGAATCCCAAATCCCTGTGTGTAGTGCCCTTGTGCTTCCTGCATGTGACCAGAGACTGGAGAGGAGGAGTCGAGTCCTTCTCCACCTGATAGGGCTTGTGTTCACAGCCCTCGAGCCTCAGGAAGGTATCTGAAGGCCCTGCTACGGGGCGTTGAGGGAGAGGGGTTGTCCAGTGCTCCACTGGAACCTGGCCCAGGTCCCTGGGGAACATCAGCTTGGGGTGGGGAAAACCAGAGGAACCCCTTCCCGGGGTGGGGAAGGCGGAGAGGGATACTCCCACCCCAAACAAGGCATAGCGCGCTGGGGCCACACACAGGCCAGGATCAGGTTCTGCTGATCCCCGTGGCTCTGCATGGTGGGGGGCTGCATCTGTCCCGGTGGCTCTGATAACTCCCAACCCTCTTTGGTGCATCTTTCTGCAGCCTGTGGCAGTGCCAGCTCACCAGCCGCGGCTGCAGGAACCTGGCCGCCGTGCTCAGCACCAGCCGGAGCCTGCGGGAGCTGGACCTGCAAGACGGGGGTGGGAGACACTGGGGTGCGGCTGTTGTGCGAGGGGCTGAAGCATCCAGCCTGCCTGCTGGAGAGACTGCGGTGAGAGACCTGGAGCTCCTCGGGGTATTTCCCTGGGCAGCACTCGATGGGGCTAGGGCTGGGCAGCTGCTGCTGCCAACTGGTATGTGGAGATGGAAGCGGTGTCTCCCAAATGGCACTCATCAGAGAGGCAAGCCTGAGAGAGGGGATGAACTCCTGAAAAGGGAGACAGCTCTTCTGAGATCATGGGGTGGGGTGAAAGTGCTGCTAAGCTTGAGTTCCCCACCATTGTACTGGGACATGCGAGCAATATGGCTGAAGCTGGGGTGGTCGCATAGAGCTAATGTGGGAGGAAAGGTATCCTGAAGCACAGGCAGGTGGGCTGGGCAATTAAAGTGATCTTGCCTGCTCTCCCCTCCAAGCAGGAAGAGAGCAGCTGGGCAGCAGAAGAATGTCCTGGAGAGAGTGGAGGTCTTTACATCAGCCTTTGCCTGGAGATTTCGCAATCCTGCCATGAATGAGCAAGCCCAGCGGTAGGGATTGTGTTGGCAAAGGGGGAGTTAGCGTTGCTGCATTTTCAGCTGAAGGAGTGCATCCCTACATGTATGTCCTGAGTGCAGGCAGGGTCTGAAGGATTCTAGGAATAGGCCTGTTTTCCAGACTCTCCACGGCTCCAGCCATTTGCAGAAGGGCAGTTAATGAGCAGGGTCTTGCCCAGATCCAGAATCATAAAGTAGTTTAGGTAGGAGGGGACCTCCTCGTCTAGCACTTCATGTTCAAAGCTGGGCTGCTGTAGGTTCTGTTGTTCAGGGTCTTGTCCAACTGTGTTAGGAATGTTTCCAAGGATGAGGATCCCACAGCCTCTCTGGGGTCCTGTTCCATTGTGTGACCACGCTCATCGTGGGGGAACGGGGAACAGAGAGATCTGAAGTCTAGGTTCCTGTGCACCTCTGTGCACCCGGGACTCACTGTCCCAGGAAGTATCTGGTAACAGCAATAAGATTGCACCCTTGGACTTCTCCTCCCTTGATTGAACAAACCCTGTGCTCTTGGCCTCTCCTCATATCTCATGTTGCTGCAGCCCCCTAGCCATCTTTGTGCTCCTCTGCTGGGCTTGCACCAGTTTCCAATGGTGCATTCTTGCATTGGGGCAACCATTATTTTTTTTTATTTTCATGCATTTATCAAAACGTTCTGCTTTCCTGTTGAATTGTGAAGGCTCCTTCCTCTTGATTTCACCACTGAACTGTATGGAGGGGTTTTTTCCCCTCCCCATAGCCTCCCACTTTCTGATGGGAACACTCTCTCCCTGTCAGGTGGGAGGAACAAAACCAATCTTTAAATACGTGGGGCTCAGTTAGCTGTAGATTGGGGTGGCATTTCAGTACTCAGAGCAAAGTTTGAAGGAGGGCTTGTGCTGGGAAAGGCCCTGCCAAGGGGTAGGGTTTCTTGCCGTGTGTTAAAGCCCGGGAAGCCTGTTCCTGACCAGCTGCAGGAAGCACTGGAAGGTCTCAGATGAGGAGGGGAGGATTCGAATGGATGAGGGCTCATGAGGTGGCCCACAGCCAGCTGTTAGGGGCCAGAAGCCAGCACAGTCTGGCTGCTATGCCAGCAAGAGTCTCTCTGTGGGAGCTGGAGGGTCAGAGGAGATGGGTGTTGCACCTGGCTCTAGGCAGGGGGGCAACCCTGCCTGGGCTGAGCTGGTAGCCTGTTGCCCAGCTCTTCCCAGCACCCTGCCTGCAGGGCTCCCTGCCTGGGGGCCCCTTCTTGGCCCTTGCTGCCAGGGGAGGAAAGATGGCAGGCTGGGCTGGCAACACTGAGAGTCTTCCCCATGTGCATTCCCTGCAGGTTGTGGGCGTGTGAATTAACCAGTGCTGGCTGTGAGGACCTGGGTGCAGTGCTCAGCACCAACCAGAGACTGAGGGACCTCGACATTGGTGATAACAAGCTGGGAGATGCCGGGGTGCCGTAACTGTGTGAGGGGCTGAAGCATCCCACCTGCCAGCTGGAGAAACTGCGGTGAGGGACCTGGGGCTCCTTGGGGCATTTCCCCGGGCAACACTTGATGGAGCTGGGCAGCTGCTGCCTGCAAGAATGGGGAGAGGCTGCCATGGAAGTGAGCCTGCAGTGCTGGGTCCCTGCTCATCCCGTGCTCCCCCCCCGACTGCCTGCCCAGAGAGCAAGAGTGTGTAGAGGGGTGCCCCTCCAGGCACCTGTTTCCCCAGCCCTGGTGTCTGCTGTGTCCAGGGCGTTCAGTCCCACGTGAGCGGGCACCAGGGGAGGGCAGAGGACAACGTCCTTGTGAAAAGGCGATCTTCTGCCATGACCAACTCATTGCTCCAGCGTAGGACTCTGCAGCACCCCAGAGAGCTGCACGCCTCCCGGGGGAAGCCTGTCTCTCCTCCTGCAAAGGACAGGCCTCAGGGTGGCCAACTGAAACACAGGGATCTCCGCTGGGACATACCCAGTGGAACTGAGCTGGAGAGTCAGTCCCTGAATTCCTCCAGTGCACGATGTCTGTGTTAGCATGCTGTGACCATGGTCACGAGTTGACACGAGTTGGGTCACTCGGCTACCTTTCTAAGCTGTTGCTTTTCTCATACAGCCTTCCTGGCATTGAGGTTTGTTGGCTCTGTGTCATGTTTGCAAGCCCCAGATCACGATCCAGTCAACCCCATCTCTGTCAGCCCTGGACCCCTTTCTTTGGGCAATGGGATTCAGCCTGGCATCTCTTGTGACTGAAATGGGAGCAGTAGCATGAAACTACCAAGGAGAACACAGCCTCAAATACTATGATGGACACCTCCTCTTCTCAAATGATCTCTTGCATAAATCAGAATGGATGATCATAGAATCATAGAATAGCCCAGGCTGGAAGGGACCTTGAAAGATCATCTGGTCCAACTGTTTGTGGGAAGGGGAGCCTAGAGGAGATTATCTAGCAACTTGTCCAATCACATCTTGAAAACCTCCAGCGATGGGGACTCTACCATGTCCCTGGGAAGGTTGTTCCAGTGAATGATTGTTCTTGCTGTTAAAAATTTCTTTCTTATGTTGAGATGAAACCTCTCCCAGTGCAACTTGTACCCATTGCCCCTTGTCTTCTCCATGTGGCTCCTTGTGAAGAGAGAGCCTCCATCCTCTTTGTAGCTACTCTTTAAGTTCTGGAATACTGTCATGAGGTCCTCCCTGAGCTTTCTCTTCTCCAGGCAGAAAAGACCTAACTCCTTCAGTCTTTCCTTATGATCAGGGCAGGTTCTCATGATCTCCTTTGATCATCTTTGTGGCACTCCTTTGGACCCTTTCCAGTCTGTCCACATCTTTCTTGAATTGTGGGGACCAGAACTGGACACAGTACTCCAGGTGTGGCCTGATAAGCATGAAGGAGAGTGGAATGATCACATCTCTATCTCTGCTAGCAATGCCCCTGTGGTTGCAGCTCAGGATCTGATTTGCCTTCATTGCTGCAGCAGCGTACTGCTGACTCACATTCAGCTTGTTGTCCACCAGGACCCCAGGTCCCTTTCAGCAAGGCTGCTCCCCAGCCACACCGATCCTTGTCTGTACTGGGCTCTTTGGTTATGTTGTCCCAGGTACAGGACCTTGCACTTGTCTTTGCTAAACTTCATACAGTTCTTGATGTCTGCTTGGACTGAGGAAAAAGGAATCTCTACCCAGAAGCTGGTTTAGAAGTTGCTCAATGAGATCCTCTAGGAGAAGAAAAACATCTGCTATGCACTGCTTGGAGGGGCTTGACAGATCCCACATGGAGGTGGCCTGTGCCAGCTGAGATGACCTGCAGGATTCCCTGGTGCCCATCACCTGATATTGAAGGGCAAAGGTGGACGAGGCTTTTCCCAAAGAAGAAAATGAGGAAGATCTAAGGCTTCTCAGCAGAGAGGGGCCTTTACAAATGGAACTTGTGAAGGGAGGAGAGTAGCAGTATTCACTTTTTCAAGATCATTGAACAGATGGAAGGAAGTGCTGCTAAGCTGGTGCTTCCCATTGTTGGCCTAGGGCAGAAGAGTGATTCCATGGAAGCTTGAAGGGATGCATAAGGATATGTGAAGGCAAGGCAGGAGAAAATGGATCCTGAAGTACAGGCAGGTGGGCTGGGCAATTAAAGTGATCTTGCCTGCTCTCCCCTCCAAGCAGGAAAAGAGCAGCTGGGCAGCAGAAGGATGTCCTAGTGGATGAATGCCATGAATGAGCAAGCCCAGCGGTAGGGATTGTGTTAGCAAAGGGGCTAACACAAGTGTTGCTGCATTTTCGGCTGAAGGGGCACATCCCTACGTGTATGTCCTGAGTGCAGGCAGGGTCTGAAGGATTCTAGGAATAGGCCTGTTTTCCAGACTCTCCATGGCTCCAGCCATTTGCAGAAGGGTCTTGCCCAATCCAGAATCATAAAGTAGTTTAGGTAGGAGGGGACCTCCAGAAGTCATTTAGCACTTCTTCATGTTCAAAGCTGGGCTGCCGTAGGTTCTGTTGTTCAGGGTCTTGTCCAACTGTGTTAGGAATGTTTTCAAGAATGAGGATCCCACAGCCTCTCTGTTCCACTGTTTGACCGCACTCATTGTGGGGAAATGGGGGATGGAGAGATCTAAAGTCTAATTAGTTTTCTCTGTTGGAACTCATGCCTGTTGCCTCTTATCCTTCCATTATGCACCACTGAGAAGAGCCATTTGTTCCCTTCTCGGAAGAAATGGGCTCAGAGGAGGCCGAGGGCTGGGCTTGGAGCAAGCGGTCAGTCCAGCACCGAGCTCTTGGTCAAGCACTGGCTTCCATGAATGTGGGCAGGGTTTCTGGCCATGGCATGTGGATATAGCCTGTTGAGAGGCTGCGGGGTGGTTACATCTGTCCTGGTGGCTGTGATGGTCTTGTGGCTCCTTTTGGTGTGTCTCGCCTGCAGGTTGCAATATTGCCAGCTGACCAGCACTGGCTGTGGGGACCTGGCCACTGCGCTCGGCACCAGCCTGAGTTTGCGGGAGCTAGACCTGGGTGATAATGATTTTGGAGACGCTGGGGTGCGGCTGCTGTTCGAGGGCCTGAAGCAACCCACCTGCCGGCTGGAGATCTTGGGGTGAAGGATCCCCAAGGATCCTTCCTTGGAAATGTCCCATTGGGGCATTTCCTTGGCTGCCTTGTGGGCAGCCCTTGATGGGGTTTGGGCTGGGACTGGTCAGCTGCTGCCTGCAGGGATGGGAAGACGCTGCCATCAAGGTGAGCCTGCAGCGCTGGGTCCCTGCTCATCCTGTGCTCCGGGCCTGCCTGCCCGGAGAGCAAGAGGAGTGTGCGAAAGGGGTGCACCTCCAGGCACCTGTTTCCCCAGCCCTGGTGTCTGCTGAGTCCAGGGTGTTCAGTCCCACGTGAGCGGGCACCGGAGGAGGGCAGAGGACACATCCTTGTGAGAAGTCCCTCTTCTGCCAGGCCGAAGTCATCCTGGGCTGTGCCACTCAGCTCCCTCCCAGTCCTTGCTTTTACTCACATCACCACCCTGGCTACCATGCCGAATGTTGGGGCTCTTGTGCAGGCCCTATGTTGTCTCTGCGAGCTCTGCCTGGATGTTTGAGCCATGTGGGGCATCTCCTGTAGCTCTAGAGCGCTCTGCTGAGCCATGGGAACACAGCCGCACAATTACCACTATGGTGGTGGGATGACTAGCGTGCACGCTGAGATGACTTTGTGAACAAAACAAAGTGCCCAGAAATTCCTGTTTCTTGTCTGTAGCCTTGGGAGGTGCCCAGTGACTGGGGAAGCTCAGGGTCGGGGACTAGTGGGATTAAACTGGGAAGGCTGGTGGGTGGGTGAGTGTGTCTGTCTCTTGGTGGCTGTGACGATCTCACAGCTCCTCTTTGTGTGCCTCCCCTGCAGGCTGCAGCACTGCCAAATCACCAGCACCGGCTGCGGGGACCTGGCCACTGTGCTCAGCGCCAGCCCGAGTCTGCGGGAGCTGGACCTGGGTAATAATGACGTTGGGGTGCGCCTGCTGTGCGAGGTGCGAGGGCCTGAAGCATCCCTCCTGCCGGATGGAGAAACTGCAGTGATGGAGCCGGGGCTCCTTAGGGATTTTCGTGTGCTGTTAACACTCCCTCTCCCATCAGGCCTTTTTCCCACAGCCTTCTTGGCCCCCAGCTCCCATCCCAAATTTCAGGGCTCAAGTACAGGCCTTGTGTCATCTCTGAAAGCTGCATGTGGATATCAAGGGTGTGTGTGGCATAGCCCATGGCACTTGAGTTTTTTAATCAGCAGCATCCACCCCTACTTCCCCCCTTACAGCAGTGTGGCCACTAGCATACACACTGAGATGACTGGACAAAACAAAATGGCCAGAAATTCCCATTCCTTGTCTCCACCATGATGGGCCCAAAGCAGTGGGAAGGATGGTTGGGGGTCAGAACCAGCAGGACTTATTGAGGAAATGGGTCTGCTGAAAGGCCATGTCCAAATTTGCCAGCAGTGAAGAGCCAGGACATTGGATACACGGAACAAAACTGCTGATGTAGAGGGCCTGATGTTCACACTTGGGACATTTTGGGTTGCTTTCCTTTTGGCTTACCTTTGGTCTTGTGCTATGAACTGGAAGCCTACAAACAGCCGGAGCACATTAGTTGTGCTCCCGGAGCACAACTTCTTGGGCCAGCTCATCGCAAAGGAACCCAGTTCTCACCCTCTGAGGGTGCTCCGCAGAGTGAAACAGGGCACAGCAACTGGACCAATCCAGAGGTGTATCTCAGAAACATGCCACTGACAGGAGTGAAAAGACTCATGGAAACGCTCAAAGAGAAAGTCTCCCTGCCATTTCCTTCCGTTACTGCCACAGTCCTCTATCGGCTGATCTGTGCGACTCCTGGCTACCCGGGCATGGCTACAGTTAGCCATCTCCAAACACACGTCTCGGTGTTTCCAAGCAGTGCTTCTTGCTGGACTGTGCACTCTGAGCCATGCTTCTCTGTCACGGTCCCCACTGAGGGGACTGAGTGAGGACACTCTCTTTGGATCCCTTTGCCCAAGGAAGCTTCAAAACCCAACTCAGAAGAAAGGGTTCTCTGAACCAGGAGGTCCATCTTCCCATTTCTGTTCCCCATAGCTCTGCTGTGGGCAGCACGGACCCCATCAGTGCAGCTGTACCTGGGAGCCAAGGCTGGGGGCACATGTGCAGAGACACACTGCAATTCTCTGCAACACACTCACGCAGACAGGATCGCATCACTTGGCAGCCGTTCCTTGGCCATGCTCAGCACCAAGAAGCCTCACTGCCATGTCACTGCAGCCGGCTTGCCAGGGGCTGCTGCCGGGTGCTGGGATGCCAGGCGGAGCTGGTGTGAGTTTCTCCTCCTGGTGCTGCAGGACTTGGCTGTGTGAGCTGCTGAAAGTGAATGTGGCTGTGGAGTGACCCGCTGGTGCACAGTGCCAGCTCTCTCTGCCACAATTCCCCTCCTCCATTTCCACATGCCAAGTGGTGGTCACCCTGCACTGTCTTCCCAAGGGGCTCTTCATTCACTTCCCAGAGCCCCCGACCAAATCTGCTCTCCAGGCTCCTTCTGGTCCTGAGAGAGCCTGATGAGCCTGAGCCTTCTCTTCTCCAGGCTAAACAGTGCCAGCCTTCTCAGCCTTTCCTCATATGTGAGGTGCTCCAGTCCCTTCATCATCCTTCATTGGCCCTTCGTTGGTCTCTCTCCAGTATGGCCATGTCTCCCTTGTACTGGGGAGCCCAGAACTGGACACAGCACTCCAGGTGGAGCCTCATTCCAGTGCTGAGTAGAGGGGAAGGATCACCTCCCTCCACCTGCTGGCAACACTCTTCCTAATGCAGCCCAGGATATCCTCAGCCTTTGTTGTGGTAAGGACACATTGCTGGCTCGTAGTCAACTTGGTGTCCACCAGGACCCCCAGGTCCTTTTCTGCCAAGCTGCTTTCCAGCTGGTCAGCCCTCAGCCTCTACTGGTATATAGAGTTACTCATCCCAATATGAAAGACTTTGCACTTCCCCTTGTGGGACTTCATGAGGTTCCTGTCAGCCCATTTCTCCAGCCTGTCCAGATCCCTCTGAATGGCTGCATGCTCACCTGGTCTGTCAGCCACTCCTCTACTTTTATATCAGCTGCAAACTTGCTGAGGGTGCACTCGGTCCCGGTGTCTAATGAAGATGTTCAACAGTATTAGCCTCAGTGTTGACCTCTGTGGTACACCACTGATGACTGGACTCCAGGTAGACTCAGTGCCACAATCCTTGAGTTGAGCCGTTCAGCTGCTTTTAAATCCATCTCACTGTCTGCTTTTCTAGCCAATAGTCATCAGTTTGTCTAAGTGGGTGTTGCAGAAGACAGTGTCAAAATCCCTTCTGAAGTTGAGCTAAATGACATCCAAGGCTCTCTCCTCATGCACTAAGCCACTCATTTTACCGAAGACAGCTATCAGGTTGGTCAGACATGATTTGCCCTTTGCAAATCCATGCAGAGTACTCCCAGTCACCTTCCTGTCCTTCCTGTATTCAGAAGTGATTCCCTGGATTATTTGCTCCATCACCTTTCCTAGGATGGAGGTGACTGACCCAGCCTGTAGTTCCCAGGATCCTCTTTCTTGTCTGTCTTGAAGATAGGGGCAACATTTGCATTCTTCCAGACCTCAGGAACCTGCCCTGATCGTCATGACCTTTCAGAGATTATCAAGAGTGGCCTTGCAGTGACATCAGTTGGCTCCCTCAGCCCCTGTGGGTGCATTCCATCAGGTCCATGAACTTACCTATGTCCCATTTGCTTAAATATTCCCCATCCTGGTTCTCTGCACTAAGGATAAGTCCGCCTTGCCCCGGACTCTCCCACTGGTCTCAGGGACCTGGAATTGCTGAAGGCCAGTCTCACCAGTGAAGACTGAGGTGAAGAAGGCATTCAGTACTTTAGCCTTCTGCATGTCCTTTGTGACCAGGTCCCTACTCCCATTCAGCAGCAGGCCCACATCTTCTGTATTGTTCATTCTGCTGCAGATGTACCTGTAGAAGCCTTTCTTGTTGCCCTTCACATCCCTCACCAGATTCAACTCCATTTGGGCTTTGGCTTTCCTAACCTGATCCCTGCACACTTGGACAGCATCTCTACATTCTTTCCAAGCCACTTTCCTGTGCTTCCACCTCCTGTATGCTTCCTTTTCATGTTTGATGGATGGTTGTTGAGCTTGGAGGAGGTGATCCTTGATTGTCAACCAGCTCTCCTTGACCCCTCTTCTCTGGAGGACAGTCTCTCATGGGATTCTTCCTTGCAGATCTCTCAACAGGCCAGGGTCAGCTCTCCTGAAGTCCAGGGCTATGATCTGCTACTCTTTCACGTAAAGGGCAAGTCTCCCATCTTGCTTTCCCAGCTTCCAAAAAAGCTTGTATCTACTCATTGCAGCACTAGGGTCATCTGAGCTATTCCAGTATGATTCTGTGATCCCAATGAGCTACTAAAGCCCTGCGACTGCATGCAGACCTCCACTTCCTCTTGTTTGTTCCCTGTCCTGCATGCATCTGTGTAACAGCACTTCAGAGAGGTGCCCAGCCATGCTGATTCCCCAGGAAGGGTGTGGGAGCTCTCCCCATCGCTGTGCCCAATATGCACTTCCTGATGTATGTGGATATTCTTGGGCTGGGCTGGGAGCAGGCGTTGTCCCCAGTGCTAGCCCTCACTGACCAAGGGATGTGCATATTGTGGGTACAGGTGGGATTTGTGACCATTGCTTTCGGGCAATGGTCTGGTGAGGTGTGTGCATCTGGCTGTGCATCTGCATGCATCTGTCATCGCAGCTGTGACAAGATCCGTTGTATTTCTGATTTGCTGTACCCGCAGGTTGTGGTGGCCCAAGCTCACCAGCGCCTGCTGTGGGGACCTGGCTGCAGCGCTCAGCACCTGCGGGAGCTGCACCTTGGTGGAAACAACCTGGGAGATGCTGGGATGCGGCTGCTGTGTGAGGGGCTGAAGCATCCCGCCTGCCGGCTGGAGAAGCTGCGGTGAGGGACCCAGAGCTGCTCAGGGCATTTCTCCTGGGCAGCACTTGATGGGGCTGCTGCCTGCAAAGACAGGGAGAGTCTGGGTCCCTGACCATCCCATGCTCCCTCCCTGCCTGCCCAGAGAGCAAGAAGAGCCTGTGGATGGAGAGTCCTGGGCCGCGCTAGGATCTTACTTCCCTCCTCCCTTCCTTTTTTCCTGCCTTCCTTTTTTCCTTGCTTTTTTCCTTCCTTCCTTCTTTCCTTCCTTCCTTCCTTCCTTCCTCCCTCCCTCCCTCAGGCTCATTTGCTCTCGTCCTTCTCCTTTGCACCTCTGAGAAGTCCCGTTTGGTCCCTTCTGGGAGGGGACTGGCTGTGGGGAGGCCGTTGGCAGGGCCGGGAGAAGGCAGTGTCTCCCACGCTGTCCCCTCATTGGCTGAGGGGTGGGTGTGTCCTGGGTGTGGGCAGGGTGTTGGCTGGGGAGGGGCTGCTGGGTGGCCGCATCCCGCACAGGGGCTGACGACCCCCGGCTCCTCTCTGGGGCATCTTCCCTGCAGACTGCAGCGCTGCCAGATCACCAGGGGGACCTGGCCGACGCACTCGGCACCAACCAGAGCCTGCGGCAGCTGGACATCAGCACTAAGCACCTGGGAGATCCTGGGGTGCGGCTGCTCTGCAAGGGGCTGAAGAATTCTACCTGGCAGCTGGAGAGCGTCCAGTGAGGGACCCGGGGCTCCTCGGGGCATTTCCCTGGCTGCCCCACAGGCAGCACGCAATGGGGCTGGGGCTGGGCAGGTGCTGCCTGCGGGGATGGGGAGAGGCTGCCATCAAGATGAGCCTGCAGCACTGGGTCCCTGCTCATCCCAGGGAGCAAGAGGAATTTGTGAAAGGGGTGCCCCTCCAGGCACCTGTTTCCCCAGCCCTGGGTCCTACACCCTTGGGGTAGCTTCCAGGTGTACCATGTGGGGTGGAGTGCAGCACAGGCTGGGATCTACCCAGCTGGGGACCAGCTCTGAGGAAGAGGACCTGGAAGTCCTGGTGGACAACAAGCTCAATATGAGTGAACAGTGTGCTGCTGCAGCAAAGCAAGCCAACAGGATGCTGGGTTGCATCAACAAGGGCATCACCAGCAGAGATAAAGAAGTCATTGTCCCACTCTACTCAGTGCTTCTCAGGCCACACCTAGAACACTGTATTCAGTTTCGGTCCCTGCTATTGCAAAAAAGATGTGAACAGGCTGGAGGGCCACAAAGATGATCAAAGGACTGGGAAGCCTGCCATATGAGGAAAGGCTGAGAGAGCTGGGTTTGTTCAGTCTTGAGAAAAGAAGGCTTAGGGGAGACCTTATCACCGTGTTCCGGTATTTAAAGGGTGGCTACAAAGAAGATGGAGACTCCCTTTTTACAAAGAGTCACATGGAAAAGAGAAGGGGTAATGGGTACAAGTTACTCCCGGGGAGATTCCGATTGGACACGAGAAAAATTTTTCACAATGAGAACAATCAGCCATTGGAATAATCTCCGCAAGGAAGTGGTGGATTCCCCAACATTGGACACTTTTAAGATTCAGCTGGACAGGGTGCTGGGCCATATTGTCTAAACCATGCTTTTGCCAAGAACGGTTGGACCAGATGATCCTTGAGGTCCCTTCCAATCTGGTATTCTGTGATCATATGATCTTTGCGCTGCGAGTGTGGGTAGGTTGTGTCTCTTCTCAGCGAAAGAAGGGTTCTGTTATGAAGGTCCTTATTTTGAAGGAAGGCCAGGGTCTGTTCAGGCCGGATCATTCGTGGGGCTGCTGATGGAGTTTTCCTAAGACCGCAAGGTCTTGCACTGTGCTGTTTTGGCTGAAGAATCAACTAAAATAGGCACCCTGCTTGTTTCCACGGGCTGAAGCACAGATGAGTCTCAATTACTTGCACAAAGGGTGTGCTGATTGTGGTTTGCATGCTTTGAACAAAGAGGAATTGCCTTGGTGAAGGGTCTTCAGGGGAGCAGAAATGCTCAGACCAGCTCAGCCCTTTAACCTCCCCACTCCCCTCCATGTGACAGCTCCTGGGCAGGGAGAGCAGCAGTTGGGCAATGGGGATGACAGCAAGAGGGGGCTCTGGCAGGCACTTAGGAGCAGGATGGGGTGAAGCAGAGGTGCTACTGGTCCCTGGTTGTGCAGTGCGCTGGGGTGTCAGGCAGTGGTCAGTATCAGGCAGATTTAACAGTTCTTCTCTGCTTCTCTCCAAAGGTTCATCAGATCTGTATTAAATGAAGGAAGACAGCAGAAGCTGGCTCCCTGAAAGAGGAAAAGCCCAGATGGAATAAATGTCACATTTCTTGAGCAAGGTCTCTGGCCTCATGATGCTCTCACAGAGATAGCCTAAAAGTTAAAAGTGCATCGGGAATGAGGAGGTTTGCTGCATTTATGGATATTCCCTTTAATGCCAAAAAGGGGTTACCAGCGTGTCTGGTTGGGACGTCGCTGCAGTCTTGGCTGACTGTCATGACGAGGGTGTGAGATGCTGCTGGGGACTGAGTTCTGCTCAGGCACGATGGCAGCTTGAAGGGGTCCTGTCTGGATCTCCGTTAGGGTGGGAGGGGAGCAGAGGGCAGAGGGAGTTAGGGGAGGGATGTAGAGAACAGCACTGAGGGTATAGACAGATGAGTGTAGGCCCTCCTTCTTGAAGTTTCTGAGAGCTTTGTATATGAGGGCGGGTGTTTTTCCTGTTCCCAGGGCTCACTGATGAAGATTATGATAGTTCTGATTTGACAGCTTCTAAGGAGGTGCCTTCTGTCTCTTTTGTTTAGCTATGCTTTTATCCAGGAGAATTTTTTCTGGTTTTGCAAAAAGGGCCCGACTCAGGGATATCCTCAGGTTGTGACATTTTCCTCCCTTCCTGTAGCTGGTGCCAATCTCTGGACTCTCCTCGTGCCAGACAATCCCTAGGGATGGTACCCAGGAAATCTTTCCAGGGTCTGATTTTCAGTCCGCAACAAACAACATCGCAGTGGCAAAGTAGGAGTTCCCTGAGATGCAGAAATGTTCTCTTCTTTTGACTTCTTTGGACTCCCAGTAAATGCCTGTAAATACATGTCCACGTCCTTCCTCCTCCTGCCTTGCTGTTCTTCTGTGTAGTAAGGATCGATTATGTCGCAAGGGGACTCTGGCATGAATAGGCAGCAGTTTGTACCTGTAACCACATAGACAAGCCAGGTGTGCCTGAAGGTGCCTGGGGGAGGATTCACAGAAACACAAAATCACAGAATAGCTGGGCTGGGAAGGGACGAAAACCCCTGCTCAAGCAGGGTCAGCTAGAGCAGGTTGCCTAGGTCATGTCCCATCGGGTTTTGAATACCTCCAAGGACGGAGAATCCACAACTACTCTGGGTAGCCAGGTCTGACGCTTGATCACGCTCACAGTAAAAAACCACATTTTTTCTTACATTTGCAAAGTCACAAAGTGCAAAGTCCAGCACCTGGGCTGGACCAGTGCACCAGTACATGCTGGGGGCAGGCTGTTCGGAAAGCAGCATTTGACGCCTCCTGCGAGGCTGCAGGCTGGGATGGGGGAAGTTGGGATTGTGTCTCTGCTGGGGACTGGTCCTGTCCCTTCAGTGTCTCTGTGACCACAGGTGGGTCAACGGAGAGGAGCAAATCCCTCCTCCTGCGCCGCCTCTGCACCCAGTGCAACACTCCTGCGTGTGTCACATCTGTCCCCAACTGCAGCAGCAGGAGCAGGGAAGGGGCCAGGCAAGTGCCCTCCCTTGGGTGAGATGTTCCAGGCTCCAATGGGAGGGGGGGCGGTGTGGGGGACATGGGACGGGCAAGAGGGGCCCTGGGCTTGGAGTGCCCGCAAACCCTCACCCAGGCACGGGGCCTCCCCCTGCACCCGTCGGCCCACCAGCATCCCTGGGGTGGGGTGAAGGATGGCTTCCCCTCTCCTGGGGGCTGGGGGTGTGGGTGGGCTGAGGGACCCTCCCCTTCCCGCAGCACCAGGGACTGTCCCCATGCTCGTGCTGTGCTTCAGGACACCTCCACCCAAGAGCTCTGCAGCGCAGCAGGCGAGCGCACTCGGCCGACAACCGGAATCTTGGTGGTTCAGCCCCCTGGGAAGGGGCTGGGCTCCGGGCAGCGCGGAGCTGCTGGCTGATGGTCTGGATCTGTCCCACCTGAGCATCTGCCTGGCAGAGGGTCTGGGGGAACCAAAGCTGGACCACATTGACCGTGATCTCCTGGAATGTGATGGTGGTTGAGGGGATGGAGTGCTCATGTCTTCTGCTCTGCGCATGTGGGTGCCAACGTCATCCTCACCAGTGACTCTCCTCTTTCTGCCTCAAAAACAACTGAGAAGAAAGAGTTGTTTGGAGCAGTGGCAGTCTTGCATTCACTATCTCTACAGACAAGCATCTTCAAGCACATTCTCAAAGCTGGCAAGCCAATAACCATGCTTGGAGAGATGAGCCTGTCCTCTCCTCCCTCCTCGCACTTGCGCTCAGTGACAGCAAAAGCCAAACTTCTCCAGTGGTGCCTCCCTGGGGGGCCAGGCACGGGACGGCAGGCCTGCCGGAGGCTGGGATGTGCGTGTGGCTGTGGGACTCTGGCCAGTCTGAGCACGTGCCTTGGCCTGGCAGGTTCACTGGGGGTCACCGTCCTGGTCAAGCTCCTGGTGGGAGAGCCAGAGCAGGACCAGAGGAGGACCTGAGGAACTGCTCGCGGCTGCATGAGGAGGACGTTCTCCCACTGTGCAGGGACAGGGGGCTGCAAGGGGCTGCAGCTGGGATGGACAGTGCAGGCTGGTGGGTGGCTAGGTTATGGGTTTGGGGATGGTTGAGGTGCTTGTGCTGTGAGCCCTTGGTCTGGTGTGGAGGGGACGGAGAACACAGAAGTAAAGTCTGGTTGCGATGTGCAGGAACACCGAAGGAAGGTAAATTTGGAGAGGAAAAATGACTGCCAGTTTCTGAGCTGGGGCTGTTCTGAAGTCACAATGTCATGGTCCGTAGCTGTCCCTGCTAGACCCCGGAGAGTCACTGCTGCCACCTCTAAGCCACCTTGGCCCTTTCAATGCGAATAAGCTGATGCAGAAGGCTGTTCACTGCGGGTCTGTCCATGCTGTTTCACGCCCTGCTGAAGTCCAGGGAAGAGCACCTGTGTATTTCACCCAACATCACAGCGGGGAGCAAAGGGGCCAAGAAACTCTGCTCAGGAAAGCAGGTGACTAAGCAAGGCTGGTGTTGCGGAGGAGATGATCCTCCCCTGTGGGAGCTGTGCTGTGGCAGAGGTGAGGGAGTTGTGCAAGCAGGACAGCAGAGTGGGATGTCAAGGCATGTCAGGAGCTGCCACCGCCTCCAGCAAATCCGGCGCAGGATCCCCCTGGGGACCCAGGGTCTCTGCCTAGGATGAGGGAGAGAGCTGCTGCTTCCCCTTTGCAGGTTCAACCAGCAGTGAAGCTGAGCACGTGTCCCAGAGACACACAGACACACACAGACACACAGACGCATGCACAGGGCACGCAGCCGCCCCCCCGCACGCAAAGACCCGCCCACCAGCAGCACCCACGCACAGGACCCCCTCACCCACCAGCACCCACAGCCACGTCCCCATCCTCCTCGGGGGCTGGCACAGACAGACGGTCACTCGTGCAGGCACACACACGCTTGGGTCGCCCGAGCACCGGCACGGCCCCTCTGCCACCCGGGACCCCTGCCCGGACCCCGGCCCTCTGACCCACCCC